GAAAAACTTGAGAGTTTTGACCTCCTCATGGACATCCAGGGGAAAACTGAAACTATAGAGATCAAGGTGGAGTACCAATGAAGACCTAAAATTTGTCATAACTGTCGCATCTTTGGTCACAATGAGCCAACTTGTCCCAAACAAAGAACTGTGGAAAGTTGGAAGCCCAAACCAGCTCCTTTACAGGCTAGCTCAAATTTGCTAGATAAGGGGAAGGCAGTTGCAACTATGACGGGGTTAGAGCAGCAAGAGGCAGTTTTTTCTCAAGCAGAGGATATGATGAAATCGCACCAAGCTTCTTCCTCGGTTATTATCAAGAATAATATCGGACTGGTTATCCAAGCTGGCGCATTTACCTCTTCTCAACAGGATATTTTGGGTCATGACCACCATATTACTAAGATAATAATCAATGAGAGCAGCTCTCCTCAATTGCTCATGCAACCTGCTGTCACTTTATTATCTAACAAATTTGAGGAGCTCAATAAGGAGGGGGGACAAATTGTGGTTGAGTTGAGAGCGGAGCTTGAGCCTGAAGCAAACATACCAAATGAAGTAACTGAGGAAGTCCGCAAGGAGGAGGTACGAACCTAGGCTAAACTTCAACAAATGTCAAACAAAAAGAAGAAAGGGAAGAAGAAAGACCCAAAGTCCAAGGTGGCCAAGCACCTCTTGCTCAAAAAAATCCAACCCCCTCAATGAATTGTGCATGTTGGAACATTAGAGGTCTTAATGAGACTTCTAAACATGGGGAGGTTGGGAAAATTATTTTTGAACAGAAGCTTGATATTTTGGGGCTTGTTGAAACAAAGGTGAAATCTGTAAATAAAAATAGAATCATACAGGGGGTCTTTAGAGATTGGAATTGTCTAGCAAACTATGATAGTCACAACTTTGGAAGGATATAGATTGGGTGGAACCCAGTTAATGTGGAGCTTAGTAAGTTCTCTGACCAAGTTGTCCATTGCAAGATCAGGCATCTTGAGAGCAGGGTACAATTTACTGCCTCTTTTGTCTATGGCTTTAATGATGATAGAGAAAACAGACCATTATGGAGCAGTCTTATCTACCATGCGAGAATCTTTTCAAATGAACCTTGGGTGGTATTAGGTGAGTTTAATGCTATTAGGAGTTTACAGGAAAACAAAGGGGGACAGAATAGATGGAATTCAACAATGGAAGAATTTGACAGATGCTTACAGGATTCCGAGCTTATTGATCTCAGGTACTTAGGAATTCAATTTACCTGGCGTAATAAGAGGGGTGGTCATGGATGTGTGGCTCGTAAGCTGGATAGAATTCTTGTGAATGAAAGGTGGAATCTCACATTTTAGCAGGCTATGGCAGATTTTTTACCTCTTGGAGTTTTGATCATAGTCTTGTTATTGTGCATTTGGGACTACAAGTGGAAAGGAGAAACAACCCTTTTAAATTTTTTAACTTCCTTGCTGAGAGAGAGGATTTCTTAGACTTGGTGAATCAAGTTTGGTCACAACCTATTCAAGGGACGTTTCAGTATCGTGTTTGCTACAAATTTAAACTTCTCAAGACAATGTTTAAAGAGATAACCAAGAATATTGGGGAAGTTATAGTTAGAGCCAAAGAAGCCAAGGAAGCTTTGGAGAGATGTCAAAGAATGCTGGATGGAAACCCAAGTGATCCTGCCATGAATCAAGAAGAACAACAACTCCTTGCAAATTACATTTAAGCTAATAAGATTGAGGAGGGATTTTACAAACAAAAATCAAGGGTCCAATGGCTAAGCGAAGGAGACAAGAATACATCGTTCTTCCATCAGTCTATGGCTAATAGAAGGAACAGGAAAAAGATTTTGGCTCTTATAAGAGCTTATGGTACAGGGGTTGAGGGGGATCAAGCAGTGAAAGTTGAGGCTCTGGATTACTTTCAAAAGCTCCTGGGACGTTCCTCCTATTCAAATGAAAGTAGAGATATACTGTAACCTATTATCCAAAACAGAGTTAATGATCAACAAGCCGCTGAAATGGAGAGGGAAGTCACTGAGGAGGAAATTAAGAAAGTTTTTTTCTCCTTCAATGACCAAAAAGTCCCAGGTCCTGATGGGTTCAATGTTGTGTTTTTTAAAAGGGCTTGGAATATCATAGAGAAAGGCATTGTTGCTGCTGTGAAGGAATTTTTTTCAACTGGAAGGTTATTGAAGGAGTTTAACAGTACTATCATTGCTTTAGTTCCCAAGGTTCCCAATCCTACAACTATGGGGGACTACAGACCTATTTCATATTGCAATGTCATGTATAAAACAATATCTAAGATTATTGCCAATAGGATTAAAAGTTTTCTTCCCAGTCTTATAAACCCAAACCAAGCAGCCTTTGTCCATGGAAGAAAGATTGGAGACAACATCCTTCTCACTCAAGAGTTAATGAGGGATTACCATAAAAGTAAAGGGTCCCCTAGATGTGCTTTAAAGGTGGATTTGAGGAAAGCTTATGACACACTTGACTAGACTTTTCTGTTTGAAGCATTGGAGGCTCTTAATTTCCTTTATACCATAAGGAGATGGATTCAAGAATGTGTTACGTCGGCTAGATTCTCAGTGAATATCAATGGTGGGCTAGTTGGATATTTCCCCGGTAGGAGGGGTCTAAGACAAGGTAACCCTATGTCCCCTTACCTTTTTGTTATTGCAATAGAGTGTTTATCTCTTCTTATCCAGTTCAACATTAGTTCTAATCCAAGCTTCAAGTTCCATTGGAGGTGTAAAACTCTCAAAATTGCCCAGCTGTCATTTGCTGATGACTTGATGATGTTCTGCTATGGTGACTTGAACTCTGCTTCTGTGATTAAGAAATCTTTGGACCAGTTCAGTGTGGCTTCAGGGCTTTAGATTAATACAGGAAAGAGTAATATTTTCATGTGTGCTATTAATGAAGATACTACTTGTCATATCAAGAATTTGTTTGGTATTGAGGAAGGGAACCTGCCTATCAAATATTTAGGTGTGCCACTCGTCTCGTCTGGTTTGAAGTATCAACACTGCTCTAGTCTTATTGAGAAGGTGGGTTCAAGAGTTAAGTCTTGGGTCAATCGATCACTTTCATATGCGGGTAGAGTTCAGCTTGTCATTTCCATTCTCTGTAGGTTGCACATCTTTTGGGCCTCTCATTTGAGTCTTCCACAGAAGGTTACTCATAGAATTGAACAGACTCTGAGATCTTTTATTTGGAAAGGCACTGATCTTAGTCATACGGGTGCAAAGATCTCTTGGAAAAGAGGTATGTAAACCTAAAGAAGAAGGAGGGCTTGGTATCAAAAGGTTGAGGGATTGGAATAAAGCACTGCTTATGAGGCACCTGTGACAACTTTTTAATGACAAGGAGAATTTATGGACTCAGTGGATTCATGCCTATTACATCAAAGGGAGAATCATTTGGGATCTCAAAGCCACTCAAGCAAGCTCTTGGAATTGGAGGAACTTGCTTAAGCTTAGAAAATTGCTCAGGCGATGTATTATCCATAGGGTTGGAAATGGGAAATCTACTAGCTTGTGGCTGGATATCTGGCACCCATTGGGTCCACTCCTCCAAAGAAGCAACCCTAGGAAATTGCTGGAATCCAAAATTCCAAGGAACGCAAACGTTAGCAGGATTATTTTGAACAACCAATGGAATTGGACAATTGGTATTTCCATCCAAGTGCAGGAAATCATTAATGCAATACCAAGCTATCTTCCTGACCAAGACATGGAGGACTCAGTCAAGTGGACTCTAACTGCGGGGGGCAAATTTTCTGCTAATTCTGCCTGGGAACATATCATGAGTGAAGGTCCAACCGTGCAATGGCACAAGCTTGTTTGGTATGGTAAAGCTATCCCTAGAATTACCTTCATCCTCTGGCTTGCAATTAGATGTAAGCTGAGCACCAAAGACAGAATTCAAAGATTTGTTGCTCAGATCGACCCACATTGTGTTCTATGCAGGAGAGCTGAAGAAACACATAACCATTTGTTTTTTGAATGCAATTTCTCTAACAGGGTTTGGAATGGTGTTATGTTCCTGAGCAACCAGCAGTGGCCGCAGAGACAATGAACTGATTCTATTTCTTGGGCTGCTCAACAGTGGAGATGAAAATCAACGAAGACAACTATTTTAAAGTTTTGTCTTTCTATTACTGTTTATTCTTTGTGGACTGAGAGGAATGGGAGAATTTTCAAAAAACAGAGCAGAGACCTAAATTCTCTTCTTCAATCCATCAAGCATACAATTAGAGAAAGGCTCATGTCCTTGAAATTCAAGAGAACTCAGAATGCAATTCTGCTTCAACAATGGAACCTTCCTGAAGCTTGTTTGAGCTGAGTTGTGTTGGGTTGCCCAATGTTTTCTTTGTCTGCTGCCCACTGTTACAAGGTGTTGTGTTTTCTTCCCTCTGTTATAGTGTAGCTGTGCCTACTTCCCATGGTTGCAGTGCTCCACTGCACTTCTCTGTGTTCTCTATGGTCTTCTTTGTTTTTGGTCATCTGGTGAGGATTTATGTCTTTTTCTGGCCTTTTGCTGGTTGGGGTTGTTGATTGCTGGCTGTGACTGCTGGTCTGTTTGCCTTGGTTGTGGTGCTGCTTTTGTTGTGTTGGGATGTTGTGGTGCTGATCTCCATCTATATCACTGCAATTGGAGTTGTTATGGGCCTATTGGAACCAAGTTTTAAGCTTCATATCTCACTGCAATGCCTGCTACATCTGCAGTCCTTTGCTGTTTGTTGGTCATTTGGTGAGGTTTTGCTGGATGTTCATGCTCAGGGCCTGCTAGCTTGTGTGTTCATCCCCCAGTTGCTCTGTTTTTGGGATGTTGTTGTTGTATTGCTTTTGATCCTTACACTGGTGTTTCGTATTTCGGGGGAAGTGTTGACCCAAGGTCTACACTTCCTTCAAAATTCAGCTCACTGGTGTCTGTTTTTGTATTGCTCAGGCTTTGTATCACTGTTGGTTGTATTTGCGGTGGTGTTATGATATATACTTTTACTTTACGAAAAAAAAAAAAAAGAATAGTAGAACAAATCAAGAATATTAGAAGTAATTCCATCTCAAAGATTACCGGACATCACATTTACGCACAAACACACGCAAGTATATTATAGTATCACTGCAAGGAGAATAGATATACATTGAAGAACAGTTCAATATTCATGGATGGTCCAAAACAGAAGAGCCTTCCTACTTTAGTTGAGCCGGAGACATACAACAGAGACTATCATGCATGGTGAAATCAAACAGCATGGCACCACCCAGAAGGTCAACGGTAACGAAGAAAATAGAAAATTAAAGAAAACCAATACAGTCTCTTTGCTAATACATACAATACATTTGCACGATCAGGAAGCTCCCCCACCAGAGCAAAGTAAGCAGTCAGTAAGTTTCAAGCCTGTCCTTCCGCTTGAAAGAGCACACAGAAACACACATAAAGCCACATATAGGTATTTAGGGCTGTTTTCAAATTTCTGCAAAGTTTTAGCGTAGGCAAGGTAGACCCTACACTAAACACAAGAACACGTGAAAACATATACTCCAGGCTACCTTTCTAATTCAATAGGAAGAAACTCGCTTAGCAACATATATATACTTTCTAGATTCTTTAATCTTGACCAAAAATTCAAAACAATTGGAAGACATCTTTTGAACCCACCATTTCAGTCCTCCCTACAGAAGATTAAGCATTTTCAGACGCTCTTCATGTTCTGGTATCAGTTTTGGAGGTGCGTAACATCCATGAAGATCCTCCACTATGTACTCCTGCAAAATTTTCAAGAATAATATACTTTCAGTCTTAAGAAAAGAAACAAAAAGCAGAAAAAAAATGACTTAAGTGGTGATGCCAGGGGAAAGCTTAGGTAAAAATGTGCTGGCAATAAATCAAGCTACAGAGTATTGCCTGGTGCAGTGATAATATTGGTTCGAATCTAGAAACAACCATTTCACACTAATAATGTCAAATTATTAGGTCTATGCTCAGTAATACTCTTCCCTACACCCTCAGTTAACATGATCAACCAGTGTAACAAAAATTAGAAAAAGCACTTGACCAAGGAATGTCCAATAACCAAACAAGCCCAAAAGATTAAAAGCGAATGTACACATTATAGGGTGCGTTTGATAAGGTTTTCGTTTTTATATTTTTTTATAAAAAAAAAAACAAAACCAAATTTTTTGTGTGATAAAACTAAAAATATAAAATATGTTTGGTAATCATTTATATTTAAAAAGTTATAAAAAATAAAAATAAAAACATATTTGGTATTATACCGAAAATCCACCACCCAACACTACCAAAAACCACCACCACCAACCACCCAAAACCCACCACCCAACCCTACCGAAACTCACCACCACCAACCCCCGAAACCCACCATCAACAACCCCCGAAACCCACTACCTAACCCCCTTGCAAAATCCATCACCACTGAAACCCACCAACCAACCACAGAAAAAAAAAAAAATCAGAGAGAGAGAGAGGCGAAGAGAAGGAGTTGAAAAAAAAAGAAAGTGAAAGAGGGAGGGGAGGGTTTTATACTCGAGCAAAAAATCCATTTTTTTGTTTTTAAGGAGGATCGAAGCCAAAATCTCATTAAATCCCATCGAAGCCCCCGTGTGTATTTTGGTTTTTGGGTGTTTATGAAAATACCTTGTTTGTGTTTTTATTTTTTAGCCTTATTTTTAAAACAAAGTTTCTAAAAAAAAACATAAACATATCACAAACAAATTTTTATTTTATTTTTTTGGGCAAAAATTGAAAACAAAAATCGAAAAAAAAAAAAACAATGGGTTACCAAACACAACCAAAGATTTTGTGATCAAAAGAGTAAAAACTATAATCCTGCTGCATGCATGGCTGGTTGTTTGGTCCATTTTCATCATCTGTGGTTACCATCACACCATTGTCGGTCTATCATTGACATATACTCGCCACGTAATGAGTATTATAACAGTGTATCAGACATTCAGTTTGATTCTACCATTTAGCTTATTGCAACAGGTTTCGCCTATTATAACAGGGGCAGAGTCTGATCTTTTAGTTATTATTTTCTCAAGAAACAAGAATAGTGAGTCTCGTTCATAATCATCAAAAAAGGATTAGAAAACATATAAATAATAACTCTACTAATTGACTTGTTCCGGAAAAATGTCAATGCAAGAGTAACTCTTTATGACAAATTTTGTCAAAGACATATACCTGTGTGAGTTCCCTCTTCGTAAGAATATGGTAGTGTCTTTGCCAGATCCTTTGGATGGCCATGGTGGTAGCAAGGAAACCATAGGCAATGCCTAGGATTGCAAAGATAACAATAAAAACAATGACCAGGGCAAAGCATGCTTCCATTGATGCAGGAAAGCAATCCAATATGCCCCACCCATAACAGCAGTTCTGACACCCAGCCATGCGTGGGTCACTTGTATTAAGGGAGGAGCAATGTAGTATGAGCCCAAAAAAGCCAAGCAGCACAAAGAAGGCAAGAGCTCCTATTAATATTTATTTAGAGGGTCAGAGCATAGAATAAATGATGAAAATAGTATCATCAAGAACATACTAAAACACATAATGAAGAGACTACAACTATTGCACCTGGCAAACAGTAGAACCAGATCCTACTGGATTTATTATTGACAAAGTGGAAAATTTTAAAGCCCACTAATGAACACAGCCCAGCAGCAAAATTGTCAATTGATATGGTAACACGTAGCAATTTTTTTTTTTTCTTTTGGGAAAAAAAGGCCAACATAAACATCATGCAGAACTTTAAATAGCATTTGGGAAGAGAAGTGATCACTCCCAAGGAATTCAGGGGTATTATCAACTGCGTGGTTGAACACTGTCAAAGAATAAAGGTAAAACAGAAGGGCACAAACAATAACTTGTACAAGAATGAAATTTGATTGTACATTACCTCCTAGCCCAATTGTCTACATTAAAAGTTAAAACTATATCCAATATGTCTACTGTTCATACATGTTAGGAGCTCACTTCAAAGTTGGAAGTTCGAGCTTCAAACATTCTACTGAGTGGTGATATCATGCCACAAATTTTGACTGCACTTCGATATTTTTTCTTCCATAAATGCATCGTAAACTCTTTCTAATTTTCTTCAGCTGGAAATGAAACTAGTGATTTCAAGAAAATAAATGATATGTATTCCACTAAAAAGATTACCCTATCTTAAATATATCAGGAACCCCCACCCACACATTCTGAATAGTATATAGCAACTCAAAGAAAGACTATTGGCCTCTGATTAAAAGATGCTCAATTGGAGATTTGGTATACAAATTTAGATTTAAAAAATTCCCAAAACCAAGTGCATCGACCACGCAATACAATTTCTATTGCCTCTATGTTGACGCTAAAGGAAAAATATAAGAAAAATGTAGATTATTGATCCCATTTCTCAAAAGCAGATTATGAAAGCTCTTGCAGCAATTTTCAAAGATTAATAGTGAAACAAAGAACAGAGTGACTGGTCCTCAGATAGAAAAGACTATAACTAGAAAGACAACATACTACAAGGGTTTCTCTACCCAGAAAATTCTCGACATAAATGGTTTGGGTGACTGAATTTATTATTGAGTGTGGAACTGCCAATAATACCATGACAACATTCTCATTGGTAAGCCATTGTCAATATTTCCAAACAAATTCCCTTGAAGGTCAAATTTCT